TGCCCCAGGCACAACATTTAGCTCCAAATCCACAAAACCAGCCTGAAAATGAAGGAAATCTGAAATGACTGCATTAGAGTCAATGGAGCACAGCTGTGGTGTTGTTGGACCCTGGTCTGAGCCGGCCCGATGTTACGTTATGATTGGGCAGTCTGTGTCCTGGGCGGGACTTCACACAGGGTCAATTAAAACCTCACAAATTTAAATTTAAGACTATTTATTGAATTTTAAGGCCTATTTTTTTAAAGTTAAAGACTTGTTAAGGGCCTGCAGACACCCTGGTTTCACATCAACAGATGGGCCCCTCACCACTGTATGGTGAAATGATAGTAGCTCTGGGCCTCTGAGGCGATGTTCTTCCACAGCTCGCTGGGTGTCAGGCTGGCCCACGCCGTGTTGTCACCACCGCCGGGGACCCTGTTGCGACGTTTGCGGCTTTTACGGCGAGACACCAGCTCATCAGGTGGAAGGTGGGCGACTGCATCGGGGAAGGAGCTCAGGAAGCAGTTGAGGAAATGGCTTACAGCGGCAGAGAGGGCAGACAGCTCCACACCCTACATGTGAGGAAAAATTAGAAACTATGTTACACGAAAATAAATGTAGGTTTGTCTCTGAGAGAGGCTGGATAATGTATGTTACCAACCTGGAGGTATGTCTTGAAGATATGTTTTGCACATCTGGTGATCAGCTCACTGATTCCTATTCTCTAAGGTATGGAAAAAAGGAAATATTAGAGTGACAAAACATAAATACAAAAAGCATTCGACAGTGGTGGTTGTATTCAGGGCTTTAGACTCACATAGAAGTGCTCCAGCTGGGCTTTGGCGGGGGTCTTGTCCACAAACTCCAGAACAGTGCCCAGATAGCGAATGTTGATGCCTCTCTGGCGCAAGGCCTCGGTCAGTGTGGCTCCATCCATGGGCAGAGCACTGTGGTCCAAACAGTCTTTAACCTGATCATAAAACACACATACATGACTGTAAAATTAGACACAAAAACAAGATCATTCAAACCCTTCATGACGTGGATCTGGATCTGTGTCACTGACCAGCGATGGGATCTGACAGGACACCAGGAAGGCAGCAGCGTCTTTGAGAAGCTGTTTCTGCTTCTGGACATCGTCCGCGCTGTCGTCTGGGAAATGCACTCCTGGTTCAACAACACAAGCAAACATGCTCAGTGCTTACATTCTCCCCTCAACACTTTAACAATCATTTGGAGCCAAATGTGCTAAAAATAACTACGAGCAAGAAGCAGATTAGACGCTGACAAATTTGACAGGGCAGGGAGTGAAAATGGAACCACAGCTATCTTGGCTGCTCTTCTACTAAATGGTTTCATTATTTTCTAATCTTATACACACTGTTTCATAATGTTCTACACAACAGTCATCATTTCACAAATATATTCAGCTGCACACTGTCACCTGCTTTAATTTTTTTGTTCCAGACTGTTTGGTCTTAAAAATATTTGTATTTGACTTCAGCCTTTTTCGTACATAATCTAAACCTATCCTAAAATCTTCACCATGTATTTCTCAACCTCTGGGGGCTTTATATGTCAATGAGAACGATTATATTTGATTCTTCATTACCTCCTTTATATGGCTGCATAGCTCATTTCAACATCAGTAAAACCATTTGTAGATAAAGCCTTCACTGTCCATATGCTGTACAACTACTGTCAAGCTTTTCATAGGTCACATATTAAAGTGAATCTATTATGCTTTTCTATATCTTCTATAATGTTACAGTGTCGGATGTTCATATTAAACGTGGCCAAAGATTCAAATAATGAGGTAAACATATGTAGTAGTGCCTGTCAGCATGAATCACACATTTCAGACTGTTATGAATTCTCTGTTTCCAATGTTTTTTCTGCTTTTGAGACAAGCTGACGACATTTAGTGACATATTTCTTTACATGGTCATCTGCTTCAGGCACAACACTAGTGTTTACCTTACAGAGTCTACACTGCTACATAATAATGTCAGGGAAACATGTAAACTTGGTTGCAAATGTTAGTTTCTCCCAGATTTAGTCATATTCCTGCTGGAAAATATCTGGTTGTCAAGATTTTGGTTTAGAAGCTTTTATTGGTGATACGTCTTGTTAACCCTATGGGCCCTAGGCGTTTTTGGGGTATTTTTACTGCCTTTACTTTTAAGCTCATATCACAGTCATCATAAAGGCTACATACACATGCTATATCTGTTTTTTTCAGGACAATCTGGGCTAACCAGATCATTTCACGCCCTTCTACATGCCTGTATTTTATATTAATTTTTATATCAATGAAAAAAAAAAT